CAATGAATTCTTTCCGAATCTAATTCCAACTCTCGTTGTCAATCAGAATCTAAGATCAATCAATCAACAGGCCACGAAGATCAAAAGCAATAAATCCAATTCAATTAAACCGCCGAGTATCGATAACGTAGTCTCGGAAAATAAAAACCAAACAAATCCCTACAAGGTTAAATCCCTAGCTACAGTGAAACGACTACTCACTACCCATAACAACAAACGAGTTCAAATCAATAAGAAGAAACATAGAAACAGATAAAGAAGACTCGCAGCGATCTCTCGACAACGATTCTTCAATCTCGGCTCCCGGGACACGTGAATGGGAATGGGGAGGTGAAGGACACCACAAAGAGTGTGAAAGCTCTCTGATACAGTCCAATAACTCGAACCCTAATGCAAGAACGCAAGACAGAAAGAATTACAATATATTTCTCAACAAAGAGAATCAAAAGCTAAAAGAAACTGCAAAGTTCTTATTGAATCAAGTCTATCTTCTGTAAAATATATGAACAAGCTTTTATAATGATCAAGCTTGTTTATTCTTAAGGAAATGACGAAAATAAGGTAAAGAAATAGGGGAAAATCTGTCCTAACCGTTGGACACATCAGAATCAAAGGAAAAAGGAAAGAAATTAAATGAAACAAATAAAAGGAAAGAAATAAGTCTCCTCCTAGCAGTTGAAACGAATAAGAAAAGTGCCATTTGTTGATCCTCTTTCTTTCTTCTCCTAGCTGGTCTTGAAAAGGAAATTTCGTGCTCTACATGAAGAGAACCATCTGATCTTGGTTTAGCTTGGTTCAATCTCCGATTTTGGCTGATTTTGGCTGGATAACGCAAATGCTCTTGGTTTCTACAATTGGCGCCGGTTCTTGATCTCCTTTGCAAGAATAAGTGTTGTATTCTCCAGCCCACTCCTCTAGCAGCCCCTTATGATGTTGGAGACAAATTGGTTTGTCTTTGTGCGAAAACTCCTTGCTCTTGATCTTGTAAATGGTGGTTCCGACATCATTGGCATTGTCACTTCTTTGGTTGTCTCTTCTTCATTGATTTCCTCATTGGCAGCATCCTCATCCTCTTTAGGATTGATTCCTCATCAATCTAGCTCCACTGGTGTAAGTAGGTGGTCAAGCATTCCTCCATTAGAGTTTGTAGCGCGTCGAAGTCTCGGACGCGTGAGGAAATGAACATATGGATGGCTCGGTTGGTTTGCTGGTCCTCCTCAATGCTCTGGACGCGATGCTCCATCGTCTCAAAGTATTTGTCGCTCGCATCTGAGAAAGGAATATATGAGAGAAGAGGGAGACTTAGCTGCACAAAAGTAGGTGAAACGGGTTGCGACCATCGATACGCTCACGTTCAACATGCGGCAAAATTGTATAAAAGGTTGACGCTCAACAATCTCTCCACAGCTAAACTCCGTTCATGAGAATACAAATGACCTTAAATCGATGGAAGGAATCAGAGAATCGAATCAGTCAAAGATCATGGGTGTCATGAGAAACGTACTGAAAAGTACAAGACGCTAAAAGCTCTAGTGAAGACGGAGATGCCGAGAGGCAGCTCTGTCAACGCCCATGTCCTCAACATGAGCTTACGAAAAATATATTCGATACAATAAAAAGTATAGAAAAACATTGAGATAGAATTTAAAAATCAAAGTTAAACTCATAAAATATAAATAAATATAAATATATATATAAATTAATTAAACTAAAATCTAATTAAATTGTTTAATAATATATATATATATCGGATACATAAATTGATGAAACATCTTTATCAATTTCTTTTGATAAAACTAAAAAAAAAAGGAAAAGGCTTTTGACTTTTGATGAAGCCATTTTTTTTTTGATAATATTTGATCCAATGGGATTTGAACTTGGATTGAGTAGAAGGACTTTGTACTATCCAACCACCAGGAATCCTATTATGTATAGGAATTCTAATGAGATTAGAATTCTAATCTCATTAGGTTTTCCGTTGGAATTTTTTGGACGTAAATTTCAACGAGACGTTGCTTCCACAATAAAATGTTCCTGTGTCACTTCCGAATATTTCACTTTTGGTTTTACTCTTTTAAGTGGCAAAAGATGAAGGATCGGGAGTTTGGGAGCCATAACGGTAGGGCAAAAAAGAGTGTTGCAGAATTTTATGACTGACTTATAATGTAGGGATCGTAAACCCATTTTAACAATTCTACCTTTCAAAAACGCAGTACGGTTTTGCCGTAATGGATGATGCATTTGAAGAAACCGTCTGAGACGAACAACGGAACACAACAAACAGAAGCTTCAGAGAAAACGGAAGACATGCCTAACTTGCCTGTAGAAGCCGAAAAAACAGGCACGGACCGAGTAAAACCCAGTTCAAGTTTTGCAACTAAAGTGGAATCATGCCGACTTGACTAGGATTTATGGCTTTCAGAAACGAAGTACAGAACCAGTTTGGCAAGACGATCAAGACACTTCGATCCGATCGTGGTGGCGAGTATATGAGCCATCGAAGTGTCTTGATCGTCTTGCCAAGCTCTTAGATTCAATACGATTTGATTTTCGTGTTTTACAAAAAAAATATTCAGGGTTTAAAGAATTTTTTTGTTTTTCGGTTATTTTTCATTCGATTTTTGGATTCTTGAAAAAATATAATCATTTCATTTGTACCATTCTTGTTAAATATATTTTCTAACCCTGCCTTTATATATATATATATATATATATATATATATATAATTACAGTCATCAAGTTTAAATAATCTAACTTTACCTTTTTCTCTTTTTCCTGTCGTATTTTTTCCTTAAAAGTATTACTATTTTATAATTATTTGAAAAATATTTCTATTTTAGAATTATAAACATATATATATATCTAAAAAATTATAAAATCATTCGTAGTTTTTTAGAAGTAAAAATTGACCATTTTAGGAACTTCAAGAATACTCTTATATTAATTAAATTAACAACGATCCAATATTTTTAAGTTAATAAAAAAAGGCGATAAAAATAACACACACCGTTTCGAGGGAAGGCATTTCGCCCGTCGGGCTTACGCTCAGGACGTTCCCGTTGAGCAGCACGCTCTGGCTGTGCAAATCCCCGTCTTTCGGGGTTAGATGGTACTCTTCCCTTCCCATCTGCATCAGTTGGCATATTTAAGTCACTCGAGAGTTTTCTTCTTTTATTTTTCTCTACGAAAAAAGAAGAGCTCTAACAAGTTCCCATATGTTCATAAAATATATTGGGTTTAACTATGCAGATTGGTCTGAACAGATCCAATTTTATTGTTAGGATGATTATGACACTTTTAAACAAGTTTAATAATTATCGTGTTCAATTTTTCAAGTTCATGAATAAAGAAGAACATTTGTAAGTTCATGCTCGAACCATGAGACAAATCTACTCGTGTACGAGTACATGCCCAATGGTAGCCTGGGCGAGGTTCTTCACGGGAAGAAAGGAGGGCATTGATTCCCTTTTGATTCCCTCTGCAAAGACCGTCTGGCGAAAACGCCGCAGGCGCGAAGCGTGGTCGGCCTGCGCCGGGTGGGTTGATAGTAAGTGGACCATAGGCATAGGTAGCTTACTATAACTAGTTATTTCGGTTTTTTACTTTCGATGAATCGTTTCTTCGAACAGAGGAAGATTATATAAAGACTTACTCGAAATCTCGATCTATACGACGCCGTTTTCATTTTAACAGAATCTTTTTTTTTATTAATATTTTAATTTGGGATGCCACATGGCGGCTGACGTGGTATACCACATGGATTTTTGTCACATCAACATGCCACGTCAGATTTTAAAAAAAATCCGAAAAAAAACGAAACCGTTCTTAATTCCTGAACGGTACCATTTTTTTATTGTTGCCCCCAAAGGAGAGTGTTTTGCCTGAAAAAGCTTCTTAGTCGTCAAGTAGCTGATAACTAGAACACAAAAAAGTATTAGAAGGCAAACACCACTCTCTTCTGTATTGATTTGCCAATTTTCTCATGTGTTATTGCAAGATTTTATATTTTATTTTCTGCCAATTCATTATCTTTCCCTTTTGATAAATATAATAAATCGTAATTTTTGTACGTAAAGATCGTTTCTTTGTGTAAATCAAAATAATCTTCTACTAAAAATAAAATATCCAAAAATATCTATTAACTTTTCAAAACCATTCATTTAAAACGTCCACTGTTATTATTATAAATATAGTTCGAAATTATTATATTTAAAATGAATAGTTAATAGATATAACAATTTTAAAATTTTATAAATATTAAATCTATTTAGATTTTTTGATAGTTGAAATGTTAAACAAATTATTTTTCTTAAATTTAGAATTTTTTGATATTTCTCTAAATTTTATACCCTCTTAACAATAAAAATATAGTTTTCTTTTTTACTATCTTTTTAACAATATAATTCTAAAAAATAGTGTAAAAGTTTATTATATTTATTTAGAAATAAATTTTTAGATTTAATATTTATTTTCACATGATATCTATCCGAAATTAATGTGCGCATTGTCCAGACCAACTCATGTCATAATTACAGCATCTTTTTCCTTTTCACATATAATTACACTATCTTTTCTATGTTTCATATGGCGCATATCGTTCTTAAATAAAATTAATTTTAAAATTTTATTCCCAAAAGAATTTAATGAAAAGAGTTTCCGAATGTGGATTCAGATATGATCTCCAGCTCATGCACGACAAAAAATCTTGCCGCGTTAATTCCGTTTGTGCTAATGACTTTCTTAAATGAAAATAAAACGTAACCTTGTTTTAAATATGGACCAAAAATGGATAGCGAGGAAGTTAGGACAGCGAATGTCCCAACAGTTTATTTTAAAAAATCATTAATTTTTTAATGTTGGAAAATATATTTATCAATTTGGCCATTTTTTCTTTTATTTTAATCATTTTTAATTTCTTTTTCGATTTTTTGTGTTGTAATAAACTATGGCAATAAGTTATTACATGAAAACAATAATAATAAGAATAATAATACATGAATTGTGTCGGAACCAATCCATTGGACTATTTTTTCGTCTTCCTTCTCTCTCGTTACTGTCACTTGTTTGCAAGAGAGAATTTAGAAGAAAACCACAGAAATCTCCGATTTTAGGTTGCTGGAATTCAGATCACCGGCTTTGAATTAGTCATAACCCAAAAACCCTAATCCACTTCTAGAAAATTTCAAAGCTCGAGAAGCGTTCCTCGCTCTCCGTTCGTTGGTTTTTGGATTGTTCCTTTGTTTTTTGTTCGAATGGAAAGAGAGAGCTTGGATTTTTGGTGGGTGCGATTTTTGGGTTTGTTCGTGAAAACCTGCTGAAATGCGAAGCAGTCGGAGATTTTTCTGGGTCTAACCGGATCGGGAAGTGGCTGGATATTTGATGGAAGTGAAGCTGTTAGTGCCAGCTTTTCTGGAAATTTCATGGAGGTTGTAGTCCGGTGCTGTTCATGTTCTAGGCCGTGTCTTAATTCTCAACTAAGATCCGCCACCGTGCTCTTTATTGCCTGGGTAAGTTCTTGTCCCAGTCGTTGATTTCTGTCTCATGTTGGATTTAGGGTTTTTGGTGCTGCGCGAGAGTGGGATTTCCTGTTCATTTTCCGTGGACTCGATTGCTCCTGAATTGTGGATCTGGGCTCTGTTTGTTTCCCGGGAAATTGCTGGAAAGTAGCTAGAATTTAGAGTTTTGTGCCGTCAATCTGAGCTAAGCGTTTTCTGGGGAGGTTTCCGACTCAGAGATTTTCCCAGATATTTTTCCCGAGAAACAAGCAGGCCAGGGTTTAATTTTTCTTGTGCGAACTTTAGGAGAAAACTTGAGTTTTTCCTCATTTTTCCCTGGATCTGTGCTTATCTCTTGTTTTTTTTTCCCCCGGAGATTGTCCATTAGATTTTTTACCCAAATAACCCACTTGGGTCGCATCTATTTAACCTGTACACCACCGAACACATAACACATATTTTTTTTCTGTGAAAAGACGAAATTACCCTTAATGAATTACGATATTTATCCGTTCGAAAACAACTTTCGTTATTACGACTTCGTAATTAAGTCTAAATATAGTTACAATTGATTCTAAAAAAGGTGGCAAAAAAATCATCTGTCTTATTTTAGTTGTATATCAGTTATATGTTAGTCGTAATAAAGTCGCAAAAAATAAAACGAAAAGGGTATTTCGGACTTTTCCAACCGAAAAGTGGGTTAAAATTAAAATTTTTTTTTTTCGGTGGTGTACACGGAAATAGATGCGACCCAAGTTGGTTATTTGGCCGATTTTTCCTTGTCCATTAGCTTCGCGGGAAACTTGATGTTGTATTTAATTCTGTATTTGTGAAAGTTATGTGCCAAGATATGGATCAAATTGCTGAATTTTGACTTACTAGTCAGTGCCGGTGATTTTGGCCAAGAAATGCCGTACTAGGAGCAAAATCACTGCAACCAATGATCATTTTAGCCTTGATAATACGTGTGATCTGCAGTGATCTTGTATTGGTTTGATGTTTCTTTTTCCGTTCATGTAAACCCCGTTTTGTGGACAAAGCTAAATTTCTTTAGCTAAGGTGAAGATTTATGTGGGTTTTCTTTGTTTCAGGTTGTGTTGACTCTGTTGTGGTCGGGAGCTGTAGTTGCAAAAGCCAAACACCGTCACATACCCTTGCAAGGTGTGGAAGTCGGAAGTGATGGTATCGCTTCTCATTCGTGTATCCATGACCAGATAATTGAACAGAGGAAGAGACCGGGTCGAAAAGTATACTCAGTTACTCCTCAGGTTTATCATGAGTCAAGAGGTGCTTCAAAACCCTCCCATCGCAAAGGAAGGTCATTGCTGGGGATCTCTGAAGAGCAGAAGGATGTGAAGCAGCCTATAAGGATATACTTGAATTATGATGCCGTGGGTCATTCACCCGATAGAGATTGCAGAAGAGTCGGTGATATCGTGAAGGTGTGTATTCTTGTTAGATTGAGTATGTGAATCATGGAAATTATAGCCTTCACTTCTGTGACTAATTTTTGTTGCTCTCCGTCTTGATTCACCCTCTTTATTCAGCTTGGTGAACCTCCTTCAAGCAGCTTCCCTGGTACTCCTGCATGTAATCCTCATGGTGAACATCCGGTTTTTGGTGATTGTTGGTATAACTGCACTCTGGATGACATATCTGGGGAGGACAAGAGGCATCGTCTCCGAAAGGTCTGACTTTCATTCTGTTGCACTTTACGTAGATTCGTATGTGAGTTTTATTTGTCAAATAGATGCACTGGCATATAATCATGTGTATGAAGGCTCTGGAGCAGACAGCAGGTTGGTTCAGAAGAGCCTTAGCTGTTGAACCTGTGAAAGGGAACTTGCGTTTAAGTGGGTACTCGGCATGTGGGCAAGATGGAGGTGTGCAGCTTCCTCGTGAATATGTTGAAGGTAAAGGCATTCGTTGGAATCTTTGTTTTGTTTTTGGCAGTTACTTATTCATTGGTATGGCCTCGCTAGCTTTGCTTTTGCATAATTAGATTCTTTCCACAATCCACAGAGGGTGTCGCTGATGCTGATTTAGTTCTATTGGTGACCACGAGACCTACCACTGGTAATACCCTTGCATGGGCAGTTGCTTGTGAGCGTGATCAATGGGGACGTGCAATTGCTGGTAATCATCTAATTTCTTTGAGTTGCTTATAGTGTTATCAATAACCTGTATTGACTTTGAGTGCAAAACTGAAGCCAAGAGTGATCTTTCTCAGGGCATGTCAATGTTGCTCCTAGCCATTTGACTGCTGAAGCTGAGACCTTGCTTTCGGCAACTCTCATTCATGAGGTTATGCATGTTCTTGGATTTGATCCGCATGCCTTTTCCCATTTTAGAGATGAGAGGAAGAGGAGGCGAACTCAGGTACATGATGGAAATCGATTGTACTCTATTTGAGTAGTACAAGTCCACTAATAAAAAAATATATTGGTGACTTATTAAAGTTAATGTAATGTACAATTTAATCAGCGATTATCTATATTTATAGGTCACTGAGCAAGTAATGGATGATAGGCTTGGGCGAACAGTGACTCGTGTAGTGCTTCCCCGGGTTGTCATGCATTCTCGGCATCATTACGGGGTGAATTGAAATTATTTTAAGGACACATTTAAATACTTATGTCTCAGAAATTGAACTTTGCAAGCGTAATGCTTGTGACTCTTAGTTTTGTTTTCTGAAGTCGTAAGGATGTCAATGTTCAACTGAACAGGCATTTTCTGAGAATTTCACGGGCTTAGAGCTGGAAGATGGGGGAGGACGTGGCACATCCGGGTCACATTGGGAAAAGAGACTTCTCATGAACGAGATTATGACGGGGTCGGTAGATACCAGATCAGTCGTTTCAAAAATAACTCTAGCTCTACTGGAGGATAGTGGTTGGTATAAGGCTAATTATAGCATGGCAGACTCTCTCGATTGGGGCCGAAACCAGGGAAATCAGTTTGTCACATCCCCATGTAACATGTGGAAAGGCGCTTACCATTGCAACCCAACCCAACTATCTGGCTGTACATATAACAGAGAGGCTGAAGGTTACTGTCCAATTGTAAGCTACAGTGGAGACCTGCCTCAATGGGCTCGCTATTTCCCACAGGCTAACAAAGGTCAGTTCTTTTGGATTAAGTAAAACCTGTTCTTTGCTGATCGATCCTTTCTTCTATTCAAGTGATAGAAACCCGTATTTCCCTTTTTCATTGTATCTACACTGTATCCTTAAGTTAGTTCTGTGTTCATATACGTTAATTTGATACTTTACTGAATAAAGGTCAGGTTTTCATCTCTTTTCAGTGTGTAGTATATGTGAGGCATAATATTTTCTGGACTATAATGGTCTGTTTTCATACTGCAAATTATGTTTACTTTTTGGTATATATCGAGTCTGACTACTTTGGTTGCAAAATTTTGCAGGCGGCCAGTCTTCCTTAGCTGATTATTGTACATATTTTGTTGCCTATTCTGATGGGTCTTGTACGGACATTAATAGCGCACGGGCGCCTGATAGAATGTTGGGAGAAGTGAGAGGGAGTGACTCCAGGTGAATGCTGGTCAAATTCCTCATCGGATGTTAATAATAGCCACATGACATTATTTACTCATGAACCCGTTTGGCTCGTGTATAGGTGTATGGCGTCATCTTTAGTGCGATCCGGGTTTGTTCGGGGTTCCATGACTCAAGGGAATGGTTGTTATCAGCATAGATGTATAAATAGTTCGCTAGAGGTACACCTTCATATTCTTCCTTGACATCAAAACTCTCTTCTTATTTCTGCTTTTGTGCTTTTTCCATTTTAGAGTGATTTAGGATACAGGAGCAAGTCCCATTTCCGTTAATCTAAATTGTTTCTCTTTAACGATTGAGATGATCATACCCCTACCTTTATGCCCATTCGTGATGTTTTTTTTCTAAGATATATTTTACATCTTTTCATTTTCTTGTCACCACAATTAACAGTGATTATTTTTCCTTTTAGGTTGCCGTTGATGGCATATGGAAAGCTTGCCCTTTAGCTGGCGGACCACTTCAGTTCCCCGGTTTTAATGGTAAGGCATGCTTGTGTATATTCTAAGAAGAATTACCTCATCCTATTGTCATACTATTTATTCTGAAACTTTAATACTTTTGTTGTAGGTGAATTAATTTGTCCGGCTTACCATGAACTCTGCAGTACAGCCCCTGTTTCCGTGCGTGGCCAGTGTCTGAATTCGTGTAGCTTTAATGGTGATTGTGTTGATGGGAAGTGCCTTTGTTTCCTCGGGTTTCACGGCCACGACTGTAGTAAACGTAAACCTGGTGCACCCTTCTCATCAAATTTGTGTACCATTCCAAAGTTTTAATCTTTTTTAAAGTGGAATTGACGAGCTAGTCACGCCTCTCTCCTTGCAGGGTCGTGCCCTAATGATTGTAATACGCGCGGTAAATGCAAGTTTGACGGTGTTTGTGTATGCGAAAATGGTTTTACCGGCATTGACTGTTCTACTGGTGATTTTGATACTCTTTCATCACATTATGCATCAAGAATTATTGATATTTCGTATTTTCTTTCTAACAGAGTACTACATGTGCTCTTTATTTGGTGTTTTGTACATTAAATTCTCTCCTGACGTTAACATGCTTATCTTTCAGCTGTGTGTGACGAACAGTGCAGCCTTCACGGAGGAGTGTGTGATAATGGCGTCTGCGAGTTTCGTTGCTCTGATTATGCAGGCTACACTTGCCAGAACAGTTCTAAACTTATTTCAGGTTTGTCAGTGTGTAAAGATGTCTTACAGAGAGACATAACGGGGAAACATTGCGCCCCACGTGAACCGAGCATACTTCAGCAGCTTGAGGAAGTTGTAGTCATGCCCAATTACAACCGACTCTTTCCAGGTGGTGCTCGCAAGATATTTAACATTTTCGGTAGCAGCTACTGTGATGAAGCTGCGAAAAGACTGGCATGTTGGGTGAGCATTAATCCATGATATCACACTATTCGTACTTTGTAAAACTGCTGGAAATTTCCCTGAATCTGATTATCGTATTCTTCTTGGGAATCGTTACCAGATATCGATCCAGAAATGCGATAGTGATGGAGACAACAGGTTGCGGGTGTGCCATTCAGCGTGTCAATCCTACAACGCTGCGTGTGGAGCCTCCTTAGACTGCTCGGATCAAACCCTTTTCAGCAGCCCTGAGGAAGGCGACAGTGAATGCACTGGCTCGGGTGAGATAAGCTCCCCGTGGTT